CCCTGGTCACGGCCGCCAACTGGTCATCCAGTGTCAGCCGTGAATCCAGGAGGACACCCAGATTGCGCACCCTATCCGAGGGGGCCAAAGTTTCGCCCCCTATAGTCAGCGATGGAACCAGCTGACTATGCCGAGGCGCCGGTAGCCACAGCCACTCGGTCTTGGAAGGGTTGAGCCTGAGTCTGTTCCTCCCCATCCATCAAATATAGGTAATCAGATTGACTCTGCTATGGTGAAAAGTCACAATACCTGAAGCTTTGAAGCCCATTAGAAAGCATGACCAAGATACCCATTTTGTAGAAATGTAGATAAGGAAATTCACAATGATCAAAGAAATAAATTACATATGCATGTTTTACTATTTCTATCCTTTTTTGTGATTTATTGTAATTTTGTTTTGCTAAATATATTCATTTTCTACGCTAAAGTGTATATCATGAATTGGGAAGTGTAAGGGGCAAGACTCAAGTGAGTTTTATGGATAGTATAAAGAGAGCATGCAAGTGGAAAACAGTTTGGTGAAAGGAGAAAGTGTTCCAAGAAGTACATTTTCTTACTATATGCCTACTACTATTTTCACTTTTATCACCAAACTTTTCTTGAGTGGCGTGGTGGCCTAGAGGTGAAGATTCTCACTTCCCATTCAGAAGGTTGAGAATTCAATCCTAGGCAGTAGCAGATGTTTTTCTATCAGGGTGCAAAGAGAAAATATCTGCTGCGAACTCCGCATAGGCATCAGGAAGGGCATCCGGCCAGTAAGTGCTTAGTTCCACTCGGTTACCCAGACCCCACCCCAAAGCTAGGGATTGCACAGTTGTAAAAAGAAAAAAAATACCAATCCTTTCTCACCATATCACTACATTTAGTAATTTCTGTTTACTTACCAAAAACTGGCAGCCATTGAATGAGAAACTTCCATGGGTATTCCTGAAGCTCTAAACTCACAAACTGACCACCTTTGGTGCGCTTGATACACCAGGATAAGGAAAATATTCAGAGTCTTTAATTGAACTAGAATGAATTAATGTCCACTTTAATTTTTATTTTGCTCAAATAAAAATTACAGTTATCTCTCGAAAGATTGTGGCTGGCTTTCTTTCTTAAAATTAGCTGTTCTTTGCTATGTTACCTCTGTATTTCTCCAGTTTAGTGAAATGTATTCCTATCTTGTAGTACTATATGCAGTTGTTTCTCCATCTTGCTTTTAGATCATTGGCTATGGTTAGGAAAAGTGGAAAGATGCATAGCATTATATTGTTATGATTTAGATAGTTTTTTATTCCATGTATTCCTCTCTTCTGTTATTCTTCCCTCCAGTACATGGAATAAAAAAATTATTCCATGTACTGGAGGGAAGAATAACAGAAGAGAGGCCCTAAGGCAACTGGCACTTTAAATCTGCCAAAAGAATTAGTCACCTCTGTGACCAAAACAGTTCAGGATTCTTCCTAAAAGACCAATTATGGGCAACCGTTAAAAAGATTGCCCAGGACATCACAATAACTATGGCTTGCTGAAGTTGATTTCTACATTATTTTTATTATTTATTATTTCACTCTATCTTACCATATACCTTTTAAGTTTTATACAGGTAGTCCTCAACTTATGACCACAATTGAGCCAAAATGTATGTTGCTAAGTGAGAAATTTGTTAAGTTAGTTTTGCCCCATTTTACAACTTTTCTTGCCACATTTGTTAAGTGAATTACTGTAGTTGTTAAATTAGTAACATGGTTGTTAAGTAAATCTGGTTTCCCCATTGCTTGTCAGAAGGTTGCAAAAGGGGATTACCTAACCCCAGGACACTCCAACCATCATAAATATGAGTCAGTTGCCAAGCACCTGAATTTTGATCATGTGACCATGGGGATGATACAATAATCATAAATGTAAAAATGGTCATAAATCATTTTTTTCAGTGCTGTTGTAACTTCAAACAGTCACTAAACGAACTCTTGTAAGTCGAGGACTACCTGTACTTGGGTTTTCATTGGTTTGGGAAAAGGAAGGAAGACAGGCATGCCTCACTGACAGAAATAAAAAAAATGTAAATGTTTGTTTGAATAAATAAATACCCTCAAACTACGCATAGTATTTTTTAAATGCTGGTCTTAAAATTTGCAAAAAAACATGATATGCAGTGCTGGATATTTTATTTGTATTAAATGTAGTTTGCTAAAATTATATCTCAAATGTATACTGTTTCAAATCATTTCTTTCATCTTTATCATAGTAGCCTGAACTATTCAATTAAGGCAGGGGTGTCAAACTCGCAATGTCACGTGACATGTCACGACTTTTCCCCATTGCCGGAGCTGGGGTGGGCGCAGTTTCGGCATGATGCATCCAGCCCACGGGCCGGCAGTTTGACACCCCTGAATTAAGGTATGCCTCACAAATAATATTTTGGATTAGGTCTATCTGTATCCCCATTTTCAAAATTAGAAAATACAAAAACTTTATGGTATTATAGAGGGACTTCATTAACATAGTTATAAAGCTTTATTATAATTGGGTAGTAATGTATTATCTACTTATTTGTTAAATATCTTTTGCAACCAATTTCACTGAATTTCACTTAAAAAAATAAGCGCAGAAAAAAAGAAAAAAGGGGTCCATTGTTCAAAAATAGTCTTCAATACGGTGAATGTTAAAATATTTTGCTCCATTCTGTATTAGCAAGTCAAACTGAAGTGGTTCTCCTTTAATTGTAATCTTTAGCTTCTTCTAGTTTCCTCTAGTGTCCAACCTTCAAAGCCCTATCCTGTCATGTTTTTTAAAAAATAGTTCAAAATAAAAGTATTTTCCCATGAGAAGGATTCTTACAATTAATTCCAAAACCTTATTTCAAATATGTCTGAGCCATTAGTCCACTTGTAACTTCCTAAAATAAAAAAAACCACCTTTTTGCTGTTTATTCTATAAAAATTGTTTTAAATCATTCAAATTGCTTGTTAACTGTAATTAAAATTTATTTTACTAACAATTGAAGGAAACTCTCCTTGTGCTGTTGCTGTAAAACTGGTCAATCCAAAAATTGCCAATAGCTGAAAAGCAGTTAACAAGCAATTTCCAAACGTGATTAGGAAAAGACGTACGTGAACACATACTTCCCCGTATCCTTAAAAGTGTCAGCAAGATCACTTTTCTCTCACCTGCCAGAACTCTGGAGACTGCTGTCTTGCAGTCTCCTTGAGAAGAGCAACTGTAAAGAGAACTTTTGGGTGATCTCAGCTTCTCTCCTTTTCCGGAAAAGGGTTACAAAGAGCTGGCTCTTCATTGTGCTGTGGTTGTCAACTCCGTTGTTAGCTTTTAGTGGAGCCATCTTCAATTTGCTATTTCTTTTCAGAAGTCCCAGATTTTCTCAAAATAATACTGTGCGAATTTATGGCGGAGATTATGTTGCATTTTAATATCTCAGAAGTGTGACTTCGGTTATTCAATATAGGCACAATATCAACAAACAAAAAGCATAGCCGAAGGGTAACCTGATTATTTAGCATAGCATTTCTGTTTTCTTTTTTTAAAATAAGGATGCTGTAAGATTTTCTTCACTCTTAAAAAAAATTCAGTAAAGATGCAGGACTTTGGTAATGCTCATTTTTTAACCACATTAATAAACAAAATAGAACGTTGCATTTCCCTTTGAAATTTACCGTCAAGCTTGGACTATTTCCAATACTACAATCAATATAAATATTAATTATTGACAGCTTACTTAACAGCTTACTTGATTTGTGATCCAAATGCTACTTTTCCTCAATCTTTCATGGCTGTTTTGATCATTGCAGTACAACAGTTAATTTAACTATTACCACTTATATCCCAAAAGGCAATTATATTATCTTTCCATTTTATCTATAGATGACTCCCAAATCTAAAAGGAAGAGTATCCACAGTCGAATGTTAAGGCCCGTATCCAGAGCTTTTGGTAAGCTTTATTTTTTGGGAGTGATGTTTTTTTCTCAATGATTTATAAGACTATCACTACGACTCAACCTGGGAAAATGAAAAACATCCCCGAACAAGCCACTTTCATACTGTTATTAAGAAGACTACTTAGGCAGATCAAAGCAATCTTTCATAAGTTGAACTTGACTTGAAAGAGTCTTTACAAAAAAGCTATGACTGGAAAGAGAACTATAACCCTAATATGTTTTAAATATTTTCTTTAGAGATGGAGTTTGACCTTGACAAAGCATTAGAAGAAGTTCCTATTCATATAGAGGACCTACCTTTCCATTCCGGGAGGTTTGACAAACGGACTTCTGGGTTCATTTCAGAACTACCTTCGGAGGAAGGGAAAAAGCTAGAGCATTTTACTAAACTTAGGCCTAAAAGGAATAAAAAACAACAGCCAACACAATCTGCCGTGAGTTAATCTGTTACTTAAGAAATTATACTTCATATGAATGTAAAGATTGTTCACGTCTCAAGAAATCTGCATAAAGCTTTGTTCAGAAACTTCATATAGAAACTGTCTGAAAACAATAGACAATTGATAAGCACCATATCAATAGTAGCATAACTTAAAATTTCTAGCATAAGTACAAATGCAAAGGAGGAAGTTGCCTTGTATTCTTTATTCTTTTACTATTGATTTTTTTATTATTATCTTGGGGAACAGAAATTTATCTCTTCATAGATCAGCTTGGAAGATGTCTGAATGAAAATGCTGATATGTACTGTATATTGGCACTTTCGGACCTCAAAGGAAATATTTTTTAATATTGGTGATCTTCACTCACGTAATGTGATTATTCTTTTATTTTATAACTGCATTATAAAAGTTGATAATAGAGAAAATCAAAGATTGGTTGTATTATGGTTTATATATTTGGGAATTGAACATTTAATTGGCCAATATTCAAGTGTCCACCAAGCAAATTCCTGCACATCCTTAAGGTTGTACATTTTATCAGGTGAGTCCTGCAACCTTTCAAGAGGGAGAACAGAATGGAATGATGGGAAGAGTAGATGAAGGTGTTGATGAATTTTTCACCAAGAAAGTGACAAAAATGGATTCAAAGTAAGTTATCTATATATTCTTAATTTACAATACACATAGAAGTTGATGTAGAGTATTTGAAAAAAGAGCCTTTTATGTATATTTTAATTTGTTTGTTTTAAATAGAAAATGATAGCAATTATTGCTAGAAGTAAGGTAATACAGGTAGTTCTTGTTTAGCAACTTACCGTGTTTCCCCAAAAGTTAGACCTAGCCCAATAGTAAGCCCTAGTCTGATTTTGGGGGTGGGACTAATATAAGCCCTACTCCAAAACTAATCCCTAGTTTTGGGACAAGGCGTACCCCTAAAAATCAGGCTAGGGTGGGGGTAGGGGGATGAAGCTGCCCCAAATGCCCCGCACCTGCTTACCTTACCTGTAGGTCTTAATTTCGGAGAATGTCTTACCTTAGGGCCACCACAGCCAGGCCTCTCACACCTGTCACGCCGCTGCTTGACTTCTGTGCCGCTTGCCGCCACTTCCGGCTGGATGGCATGTGGCACATTGTGCTGTTGCTCCTCCCGGCAGGACGCCACATGGCGCTTTGGGCCGCTTCCGCAACACTTGGGGCCACTTATGTTGCTTGCGGCAGGAGGCCACATGGTGCTTCGGGCCATTTCCACTGTGGAAAGAGCCAGGAGCAGCAGAAACGGTGCAAAGCACCATGCGGTGTCCTGCCAGGAGGAGTAGCAATGGCGCAATGCGCCACATGGCATCCGGCCATGGCAAGTGGCGGCAAACGGCCGCATAAGAAGTCAAGCAGTGGTGCAACAGGTGTCGGGGTATGAGAGGCCTGGCTGTGGTGGTCCTAAGGTAAGACATTGTCCGAAATTGAGGCCTAGTGCCTCTTTTGGAGGCAAAAAAACTATAAGACCAGGTCTTAATTTTGGGGAAACACGGTAGTTGTTAAGCAAAGTGGTTGATAAGTGAAACTACAACTGTACTTATGATTTTACTTCAGCTTTCTTTTGCTTTACAGACCTCAAAGTTGTAAATGTGAGATTGGTTGTAAAGTTACTTTTTCATCACCACTGTAACTGAATGGTTGCTGAATGAGACAGTTGCGAAAGAAGAATTACCTATAGACTGAAGTTGATATAATTGCTAATCTTTAAAAAATAGTAATATCAGTTAAGGTCAATTTTTAAAACCAATGTCTCTGGACATAATTTTGGAATTTTCAGTACTTCCTTCTATAAACCATTTTTCTTCAATATTATTTATTTTTGGCTATGCTGGTCTGATAAGTTATCAGGATGTGATCAGATAGCATCTGTTTGACTCAATAACATAATGTAATAAAGTTAAAGATATTGAATGAAAGATAAGGAGAGAAATACTGAAAAATTGCAGCTAAGAAGCTAAAAAATGTGCCAAACAGCACTGAACTATTGCAAATATTAGGGTGTGTGAGGAGGAAGATGTTATTTGTTCAGCTGCATTCAGTGTATTCTTTTTGCCGGTATGTATTGTATTGTGACATGGCATTACATTCTTTTTTGTATGAAACTGAATATAGTTTTGCTTGGTTGTATGGTTTTCCTAGTTAAGTATGAGTTGTATATACATTTTACTCTTCGTATAATTTACATTTTTATTCATAATCCATATGTATAGGGAACTAAATTCATGCAACATACAGAAGCAAGAAATAACCTAAAGAATATAACAACTGAGCTAAATTGTAGTTATTTTAGAAGCCACTTTATGTGTTTGACATTCACTTATTAAAAAAACCCACTGATGCTGAGAAAATAAGATGCCTTAGTAATTAAGGAAGTGTGAATAGCCATTAAATTACAAGCAGATGGCAAAAATCAAGAAAGTTAAGTGCAGAATCAATGTGCTATATGGCAAATAGCTAATGATACAAAAAAACTGCTAAATTGTAAGTTGTTAATGTCACTTTGTCTAATCAAATTTTCTTCTAACTTGCTATTAAAAAAAACTTTGAGAACAAGGTATGCTGAAAAGTCAATTACAAAAGTTAGATTTTAACCAATAGTCATTGTATCCTAAATTTCTTTTTAAATACTTTAACATTGAAATTAAAAAAAATCAGTGTGTACCAAGAAATAATGACAAATAAATCTTAGGATTCATCCTCATTTCCCATTTACTGCAGCACAAAGAAAAGTCAGTAACTTTTTAACAAATGTGTCTTCTGCTCCAAAAATAGACTAAAGTCATATTTAACTCTCCCAGTGTGATGGTTTCTTTCTTCTCCCAACACAAAATTTACCATGTGGATAATCTCAGTGACAATACTGTGATGATGTGGCCAAGGTTAGGAATTTACCCAGCTCCAGTTGGCTATTTACAGTGGCTACATGGATAACCCTGTCTATTCAATTGCTAGGCGATGGAAGCTTCTGTTTCCTTGTTTGTTTGTTTAATGGGTATATTGATAATCCAGTGGAATTCGCTGGGTGGGATCATTGCTACTTTGCTGCTGCTTTTGGGTATGGCTGGTTGTTTGATAATGTAGCTGGGTGAGTGGAGATGTTGGGGAAATTATAAAGTATGGAAAGTACATGAGACA